GAGGTAGTGAATGCCTCAGGCTCAAACCAAGGAGCTGTATTTATAGTGGGTTTAGCCATATTTACGTATCCATAAATGGATATTAACTTTGTCCTTGCAAAATATCAGTTAAAGGAAAATGAAAAAAAAACAAGATCAGTGCTGATATCATCAATTATGCAAGCCCAGTTTCAAGGACAATACGTATACGAAACACATGTACTTGAAGACACTAAACACATATAGTTTCTCTCTACTTTTTTACTTTGAACCAAATCTACCCATATCAGTTTTAACTTGACTTTGTGTCATTCATATAACAACACCTCTTCTGGTCATTAGCAGCTCAAAAGGAAACCTTAATGGCTATGAATAAGATTAGCCTACAACAGCCTGAGTCATGTTATAGGTACCTTAGAAAGAGTCACTCTCTCAGAGACTTTTTGTTTGTTCAACATGAGAATCAGAGAAACAATCTCAACCATTGAATTTTTTATCAAGAAAAGGGGACCACATTTTTATGATGATCAACCACTGTCATAATCATCAAGCTTTAAAAAAACACGATGCGTTTGGTGCTCGCCGCATCTGATAATTAGCGGAAAGTGCACCACTAACTAAAAAAATGCTGACGCTGCTCTGTCCCTCAAGAGGAACAACTCTAACCAGACATTGTGGAGGCTGTTGGAGTGGATTCTTTTTCCATATGCAGAAAGGTTAGTGACAAACAAAATGCCAAATCTTGTGTCTCTCTGTTTATTTTGGTGAGCATATAATGTATCGCACTATTAACTCTTTTGGGAGTAATCCATGCATAAGGATTCACTTGTCACTATTCCCATAAACAAACAAAAGGGATCTGTCTAACTCTCTTTAAACTCAGATACTATTGGCTCACAGTCTTAATCCACGGGATGGATCTGTTCCCTCTTCAGATTTCCCTGTTTAAAGCTGAGATTTCATAGCACATCATCTATCTTCCTATGTAGGTTTCTAAATGTGAACCATGTAACTAATAGATAATCATATTGTATAGACCATGCTGTAACAGAGAGTTATTACATGGCTGTTCACTACAAGAAAACAGGGTCGTTTCCGACGGCCAAAACCGTCGGAAATCCGTCGGAATAGGGGTTATTCCGACGGATTTCCGACGGTTTTGGTCTGTCGGTTCTATCTCGTCGGAAATAAATATCCGTCGGAAATCCGTCGGAAAAACCTGACGGATTTTCGACGGAAAAGGGATAACCGGAATCCGTCGAAACTCCGTCGGAAGTCCGTCGGCGATTGGAATCCGACGGACTTCCGACGAAAAATTTTACCGACGGATTTCCGACGGACACGCAAACCGACGGATTTCCGACGACGGTGGTGACCGATGGATTTCCGATGGCACTTTTACCAACGGATTTCCGACAGACACGCAAACCGACGGAATTCCGACGGATTAATT